CGCCTCGTGTTTTATACCCGATAAAACACTACTGCTCGTTTATTTGATACAAAATCGTGATTTGAATTTTTTTGAATGTAAAATTGATCTCTAAATAAATCAAAATAATTCAATAAATAATAATAAATATTCTTTTAAATCCCCAAATTAGAAATTGTCCAGTCAAATCTTTGCCCTCTTGGTCATTTTGGAGAGCAGTGTTATTGTTTAGCCAGAAACGAGATATGATTGAACTAAAAATAATTTGGCTGTTCATCATATGACTTGCAACTGACTGCATGACCATCATTTTAACCCTGTGAATCCAAAACTTGTTCCTTAAGGATGTTTATGGGCAAAAGATTCCATTGTCAGATTTTTTTAAACATTTTGCACGATGAAAGAATATCATACTAGAAGTAAAATAAACAAATAAAACATGGGGGTCTCCGACTTCATTTAGCCATCAGAATACGGTAAAAACACGGCAGCAACATAAACATGGAAAGCTGTCAAAAATTAGTAATGTTTTACTGAAAAAATAATTTGATCGTCCCCATTTTTCACAGAAGATTAGAAAATAGCCAAATAATTAACTAGTTAGCATTTTGAAATTTGTGTTAAAAATTAGAAATATAAAATGTTATTGTGCTATGTGTGGACTGGAAGCCTTCGCGTTACATGAAATTCTATTCTAATTATATACACAAAATATGTAATTTGGATTTGATCCCATTGTCAATTTTTTCATATTTTWCCTCTAAAGTTAGGTATCATAAAGTACTTTCAAAAAGCAAAATAAAATAGGGGGTGGTAGACTTCGTTTTAGAGCTATACAAGATTAAGGACCTTTTTATGATTTTTTGTTTATCAAAACCTTGGAATGACATCATTACAATGAGCGCACGCTCACTAAATTCATGCATATGAATTTATATATCATATAAATGAAATAGCATGTTCGCCCGGAATAACCTCGTTCCCAAGCACCATAACTTATCTATATTTCTATATCTTCATGTATTTCATTAGTGCCATGGGGTCCACATATTCTCAAATTCATGCATAGAAAGGATGTGCTCAAACAATGCCCATGAACGTCGTTAATGGTCACTGAAGTATGCGTCTAATCGGGTTGATACGTATGCAATCATTGTTTATTATTTTACATCTATTTGATATTTGCTAAATTTATACTTCAATATTTATTTATAGAAATATTATAATGCTAAAGTTGAGAAATGTGAAATTTCATTTTGTTGCAAGAATGAAGTTATTTTTACTTAATGAAAAGGCAACAAGGAAAGAATTAAATTCCTTTTTTTAGCTTCTAAATTTGCTTTCATTATTAATAATTTTATAGTACACTCAACAAAATTACTCAACTCTGATTGGTCGAGAGGAGTACAATTATAGCGTTAATTGTACTCCGTTGGAGTACCGAATTAAGTCGCTATGGCAACACGGCCAAAATAATGTCAAAACAATTATTTTCTATCATTTTGTACTTAAAAAACATAAATAAAATTTTAAAGCCGTAAGAACTAATCTTTTTTATGCATTTCAGCTGCGCGATGGACTGAAAATCGGCCGCCAAATAGATAAAGATGAACGGCATTGCTTCGCATTTTTTACTGAAATTTTGTTGAGTGAACTATAAACAAAAAATCGCATGATCTTCTCATACAATTTGGAATTAATAGACACTCGTAATGTTTTGAAAGTTCTTTAATTGCACTCACCTAAAGGCACGTGCAATTATAAGAACTTTCAAAACATTACTCATGTCTATTAATTTCCAAATTGTACTCGAGATCGTGCGATTTCCTATACATATAATATATATGGCTTGTCATTGTCCTTGAATCACCAACTGATAAATCTTTTAGACTCATTCGGATCACATGAATTTGATTTTTTCCTTTTATAAGACATTAGTGATAAAACTCCAGCATAACGTATAAGGAATTTTTATGCAAGCCATTTCATTGTTGTATACGTAATATACCTAATTGCTCCTCGCTTAAAAGCCGAGTGCAACTCTAGCTTCTTGAGTGTTTAAGCAACCTCCCAAGTGTTTCACAATATATGCCCAACTAAGCATTGTTCATTGCTTTTATGACAGTAAAACCGTAAAACAAATATTTGCTTATAAAAAAAAAAAATTTGTGGTAACGAAATCCTCAGTACATAGTGCACGCTACTCAATCTTGTCAGTGTGCACCATCCATTTCTGGATGCAGTCTCACACCTGCTAATTAACCAATCAGGGCACGCATTATATCTTGGCTATGTTATAAATGAAACTTACCGGTAATAAACATCTTCATGATTTTACCCCTTATTTCAATTCTTATTCACAAGCATTGAACAAATAATAGCTAACCAAATCATTCTGTTGTCGTTGTAAAATTTGTTTTAGGATGTGGAAGCTGGCAATGCTGAAGGTAATTCAGCTCCACCTTCTTACGGCACTGGGGGATATACTGAACCTCCAACTTACCAGCAAGCTACAGGTACAGTATGTTATACTTACTATACCAGAAATTAGTACTCTTCTTTCCTTTTTTTTTTTTAATATATATAAACCAATGAAATGACTAGCCAATGTATTTGCATTATAATGAAAARAGATAACAGATTAACCCTATTGAGAATATCTCCTAAGATCAAATTGGATTTTAGGAATGTTGATTTTTGAAGACTGAGGGAGGAAAACCCTCGAAGCGAGGGAAAGAATCAACAAAAAACTTAACTTACATATGACATCAAATAAATAGAGTCTGGGAATCAAACCTTGAGAATGGAAAAATCTCACCACTACACCGCCAATATTTCTCTGAGTTTATTAAGTTGACTTTGCTAAGAGGGTCAGGAAAGGCAGTAGCTGTAAAACTTAAAAGGGTTTTAATTGAATTGTTACATTAAACAAAGAAAAGAAGAAGAAAAAGAGAATAGAAAAACCAGGAGAAAGGGGGGTCTGTGTGTCTGTAACGCAGGAAGAAAAAGGATTTATACAGGGTTGATATAATGCAGCCTTTTACCTTGATTGTAAAAAACAAATTTTGTAGTATGTACATGTAATAAGCCAATCCATAGTGGCTTTGTTGTGTTAATTTATACAATAATAATCCTGTTGTTAACCATTTAATAATTATAGTATGTAAACTATATTTTTATGGCAATTGAGTATTTTGCTTCACAAAACTTGAAAGAGTGGTTCTATCCAATATCGAAACACCTCGACATCAGAATCCTTAACTGCATCTCATTTTTTTAGTATTTGCTTGGATATGGTATGGAACACTCTTCCAAGGCTTTGAAATAGTTATTAATAACACATGTATATCACATATGAAAATTGTGTGTACATAAAAACATTTTACATAGTAACTGCAATTAAACCTTAGATATCAGAAAAGATTGTTGAAATAAAAATTAAGAAACATTCATTTTGGATAAAAAATTTCAGAGCAAAGCTATATATACGCACTTTATGTTTTTATAAACTAAATAGGCATGAGCAGTGGCATTTCCATAGACTCCCCCCACTCCCCCCCCCCCCCCCCCCCCCCCATAACTCAATCTCATTGGTAATGTTATGTTAATGTGGTTTTCGTGGAGGGAGGTAGCCACAGAACCCAAAGAAAAACCCCCAAAAGCACAACAAACACTAGCTAGTATTCCCTTAAAAATTAATGGAATTTAGCAGTAGCATTTCCATAGTGGCTTTTTCCATTTAGAATTCTAGGGGTAGCCCCCCTCCCATTTTTTCCCTTCTCCCGTACAGTCTTGTCCAATCTTAGCCCCCCCCCCCCCAACTTCTTCTCATACTAGTCTCATAAATTTTCCAATCTTAGTCCTTTAGCTATTTCRAAAAAGGTACTTGGCGAAGGTTTTATTGCATGTTCCATTCCAAGGTCAAATGAACCTTGGGCAATGATATGGAATTTTTCCAAACTTTGTCTGTGTGTTTTTCTAGTTATTTTTTCTGTGCTGACATTACATTGTACTTACACATGAATATCATATATTTCACGCTTTTTTTTAAAAAAAAATGCAACACAGAGCATGCAACAAGTAGCAAAACCTTCACCTGAACCTTATTTGAAAAAGCTGTTTATTGAAATTCATAGATATAGAGTTAACTTCTAGACGTCAAGTTTATGTAGTGATGTAGAAATATATCAATATTAAAATTAATCAAAAACATAATTATTAAAAAATTACTACTGTACGTATACCAAGTCCTTAGAGTATTTTAGGTTCATTTTTGCAATGTTATTTATGAAAACAATATGTTAATAATTTAATCATATATGTTAATAATTTAATCATATATGTTAATAATTTAATAAATTTTGATAAAGTTCTTAACATTTCTGTTTTATTCAGTTTATTTTCATTTCAACCTTTTATCTAATATCATAGGTCCAAGTAACACAAATACTTGTGACAATGAGCAATTAGTTGATTCAGAAGATGGTGTGCATATTCATGGTACAGTATATGTCTAGTAAATGAATATAAAAACCAACCTTCTTACTCATACCTTCTTGGCTTTCTGTATGGTCTGAAGTTTAATATTCTGTTGTTTTTCACTATAAACTTGGAAATATTTAATGTTTTTAAGCTACTTAATATACACACTGTGTTGTATAAAGCAAAGTTTTAATACTTTTAGATAATTTTAAAAGTGTTTCATATGGTTAATATAAAGGCTTACATATAAGGTAAGTTCTTAAACTTGTAATATCRATCTTTAACAGTTGATTCATAAAATTGTAAGGTATTATTAAAATATTATCATTCGTCTTCCTTAGAACACAATTTCAWTTTTTTTTTAATTCATATAATGTTAATAAGAGGCAAGCTGTGTTATAATAGATTTTGTATGAGTGGGAATGACTATGGTGCTGATGTATGTGCTTATGTACAACATGGTACAGCTCTCCATTACAATAAAATTGGCTGTCTTATTGCGTTTGATTAAATCATCCAGTTACAACACATAGGTTTATGCCTATGATAAGATACAGTGCAGCTGATCATCAGGTACAACTATTTTGTGAATTGGGAGTATCATGTTTTGATTCTCACTCATAGAAAACATGCATGCACTTTATCTAATCTGTTTTCTATCTCTTTATTAATATTATACTAGATACCAGTATTTATTGTTGTCACAGGGCTAAAAATAACAGCCGGACAATTGCCAGTCATGACGACTGGCCAAATTTACTTTTTAGCAGAGCCAAACCTCATTTCTGGCTCAACCTTATTGAACAAAATGACCTGCAAGGCAAGGATTTGACCAAACAAGTTTCAATTCTAGCCAGACAATGTACAATGACTGGCCGGGAATATTTTAGGCCCTGTTGTCAGAGTAGTATGAGATTAGTATGCAATGTGACCCCAAAATCGATGTCAGTAAGGCAAAATCATACCACCTTCCTACTTTCAACCTATCCATCTATACCCTACCCCTATCAAGTCCCTACCAAGTCCCTATCGATTACCTACTGATACCCTACTGGTACCCTTCTGACACCAATTTATGGGTCATTATACTGTTAGACTGTCATAGTGTATTTTGGGCTGAATATCAAAACCATTTATCAAAACCCTAAAGTAACTGATAATTGGTGCTGTCAATGCCTTAGTTAAAAATATCTGCAGTGATAAATTAGATCTTTGATAATGTATGGCTTAATGGATTTATAACCAAACACATGGAAATCCTGTCTTATTTAGTCTCGATTTCTTAGCACCCAGTTATCATAATAATGCTATTACTTAGATGCTTTTCTTACCAAGGAGCTAAGGCAAGGATTTCTCTCCAGATCAATCCATGGTTTAAATATTTTTTTAGTTTTGTTTTTGTAATTTGTTTCCAAATATTTATTACTTGAGTCTCCTAAAGGAAATCTTTCTCAATGACTATAAACTGCAGTAGCTATCATTAGGCCTAGGAGATCGAGACTTGTGTAAAAGGGAGTCAGGAGTGACTTTTATCAAAAGTCTCAGGGACAGGTCCAGGAAATTCTGGAGAGGGCAATCTTAACAAAGTATGTTGCAATGACTTATTAGGGTAGAGCAAATTGTTCAACAGGGTTGACCAATGCTTTGGCTTTCTCCTAAATTATGGCTTGAGTGCCATTGATTCATTTTGCCGGAGCTAAGATTGGACCCTAAGTTGGGAGGTGTTAAGAGGGGCTGTCTAATTATCCACTTTCACTTTATTAAATTAATAGAAACATTCATTTGTTATTTATTTGGTATATATCGTGTTTGTCTTTTTTCCCCACCATGATTATCATGAATAATCAATTAAAGATAGAATGAATAGTACATGAATGCTTTCTTTTGTGTCCTATTTCAGAGCCTCCGCCATCGTACCAGTCATTGTTTGGTGAAATCAAAGAAGCAAGACAATCTGCCAGCTCAGTGTTTGATTTTCTCAAGAAACTCCTCATACTTCTCATTGGAACCAGTAAGTATTTAACCAGAACAAAAAGAAGTCTCCTTCACATACATCAAAAGTCCCACTGTACTGAAATAGGCTTCTATTGAATTGTGAGATACAATCTCTACTTTCTCCACTTTACTGAATCGGCCTCCTTCAGAGCTATGTTTTGAGAAAACATTTCTTATGTATCATGCAATTAGAGGTAAGGAGAGAAGCTAATGCAACCTAGGTCATAGAGAACTCTAGTAGGTCTGAAAGTGTTCACCAAAAGTCTGCCCAAGGAGCTTTCACTCTTGCTCCAAACCGGGGAGTAGTCTTGGTGTGGTCCAGGGGTTCTAGTACCATTTTTTATCATCCATACATACTAAGCCTTTCGAAAAGAAAAAAAAAACACATGACAAAGATTTTCCTTGGATGTTAGGGAAGGTTCGTTTTTTATGGGGGGAGGGGGAGGGGGCTTGGGGTTCAGAGGGGAAGGGAGTCATCAGTAAAAAATTGAAACTTAATGGTGGCAGGTCAAACCTTTATGATGAAAGCTGTTTCCTAGTTGAATAAATAAGAGGGTCATGAATTTCTAACAGAGTGAAAGGGGAAGTGCTATAACCATTTTCAAATGACTTTTGATAAAAGTCATTTTTAAATAGTTTACTGTGAATCTCCCTGCTTCCCCCCCCCCCCACAAAAGAAACTTCCCTTCCCTTACTGATCTTGTCTTCCTCGATCTTGTACTTTTTCTGAGTCAAAGATCTTAATGACTTTTTTATTTTAGTTGGTTGCACAATTGCCCTTGGAATCATAATGGCAATTCCTATTTCCATGATTGCAATAGGTAAGTACATGTACCTGTGTTTATTATATTAGATTAAATTTATCGTCTAGAATTCTGTTTTTATTTTTATTTATTTTATTTTTCATGTTTCTGTGTTAATGTTTTATTCTGCACTATTCTTATTATATAGCTGATTAAGCAGTTACTCCCTATTACCCTATACCTACTAATGGTCTATCATAAATCCTGCGCTCTGATTGGCTGGGCTACTTATGGTCTACTAGTGATGGAACACTAGTAGCAAAAATTGCCGGGTTTTTAAAAAAAAATTGTATTTATTTATTTATTTATTTATTTTATTTATTTATTTATTTATTGTATCCTTTTTTTTTTTGGTCTCTTGGTTTATTGACACATAGCCCATTCGGGCTGCCGATCTAATTGTTAAATAGACCTTTCACAAATTCACTTGACTGACCACGAAACAAGTGCTTCAAGAGTAGATCGAATGATTGATTCATCGATTGATTGACTTTGCTCGTTAATCTCTTTATAGGAGCAACGTACAAACATGACTGTCCAACTGAGAGATACATCCCAATCTATCTCATTGTTGGAGGCTCATTTGGCATCGTACGTAACTTCATATCCTTATGCAAAAGAGCTAAAAGAGATCAGGATGACGAGTCTGAATCAAAACAGAGTCCAATCTTGTCCATTCTCGATTGCTTCCTCTTCGCTTGGTTCATAGCTGGTAATGTTTGGATCTACTCAAACTACAAACCAAGTTTTGAAAAAAGTTCAGGAGATAGATATTGCGATAAGACACTGTATCTTTTCGCATTTTGGTTAACTAATGCCACTTACATACTTATAGGTGTGACATGTCTATGTATGTGTTGCGCTGGGGTGTGTGCTGCTGTCATGGGCTAGAATGATGGCCAAATAATATCAGAGCATACTAGTTAACTAGTTTGATTACGATCAGAGTTAACTATAAGTAAAATGGATGAGAATTGGAAGCACTCAAATATAAACAGCACAAATTGATGAAGAATAACCTTGTTCCCTTCTTGGCGAAGTTAGAATATACTCTATAGTAAGTAGATGATAAGAATAAGTAATGTCAGATTCGAGTTTCACAGTGCACGTAAATGAAAGAGAAAAAAATTCTAAAGAGTGATCATGAAAAATAAGTTAAGAAGTAAAAGGAATCAAGGGAAAACTGCAGGTTGTAAGAATAATGATCTTGGGTACCCGTAAAGTGTAATTTATCATACGTACGTATTAGTATAATATTGGGTTATATATGCACAAGAGAATATTAAGTACTTCATATTCTCTTGGTATGCACTAGAAGAAGAAAAAACAAGGAAGTTGGTCCAGATTTTTTCATATTTCGAGCGCAAAAGTTATAGTTCAACTTAAATAGTTCTAGAGTATGATCAGTTCGAAATGTGTCAAATGGAAATCTTAATGGCATTTCTTTACTTTCACATCGAAATAATGCTTTAGTTTTTGGTTGGTCGGTCGGCCGTTCGTTCATTGGCGGTTCGTTCGTTTGTTCGTTCGTTCGTTTGTTCGTTCGTTCGTTCGTTCGTTCGTTGGCGGTTCGTTCGTTTGTTCGTTCCTTCGTTCATTCATTCGTCTCCATTCGTCCGTTTGCTCATTTGTGCGTTTGTTTTTAAGGGGGTTCACCAAATATCGACGAACTTTTTTGGAAGGTTTTTCGAATTATTCATGCCACATGTTTTAAAGTAACAGACTCTCTTCAAATGCCTTTTGACAACACGAGAATCCCCTGAGAGCCCCTGATGTATCTTCCCGGCCATGGATCTTTCTAACTAACAAACTGTACTTGGAGTACTGCCTGGCAAAACGCCGTCCCCTAGTTTCAAATTCCTGTATTTAACTTCATGACCATCACTGACAGAAACCCTTGAAACCTGGATACGCCCCTGTTAAGACCTCTTCCAATGTTAGTGTTTTCTTTTTGTTTTATGCTTATTTTAAAACAGTAAGTCAAAGCAGGCGTTCTTGTGGGTTTGGGGAAAACTTGGGTTGTGGGGGAACTTTGGAGTTTGGGGGGGGGGGGGAAACCTGGGTTTTGGGGGAAATTTGGAAGTTTGGAACGAGCGAGAATTGAAACCTAGCAAAAAAGAAGCGAAGGGGAATGCCTAGGTCTTTTTTTTCTAGGTCCAATTTTTCTCGCGGGCTCGTAGCTAAAACAAGAATCCCAAACTGGCCCCGATTTTTCCTCAAAACCAACACAAGAACTAATTCTTGATCTTTTACCAGGATTTGAAGTTTCCCATGATCCTCAGCGATCTCAGCTTGTAGAGTTTTATTGACTAACTTTATGGAAATCAGTATGTTTAATATATAACTATACATATACATATGAGTCTGTAGTCTTCAAAAAAACCGGTATGCAATGAATAAGAAGGACTATTGGTACATAAATATATTCCGGCCTACACTCATAAAAAAAACAGTACATGCCAAGCAAGCTATTTCAGTGTCTTGTTCGTCTAACGCGTAACGGTTAAGACATATCTACCGCCTAAGGCGCAAATCATAATGAAGATGTGAAGTGAGTAAATGCATAGATAGATAAATAGCAGTAGAACTTCAGTTAAAACGATATGCTTAGTGCCAATATTTCGTGATACTGTATCATTAGAAAACAATAAATATCCATTAAATCACTTAGACTAGCAAAGCCGCCCACCTTTCCCAGAGCAGAGTCGATCTCTCTTCTTTCTCGACCTTCTTTGGGCGAAGGAAAATAGTCCCTGCTGCGGGAAAGCCACCTTTAATAAATAACGCGTGAAAATAGTCATAGAAAAGTGTACATTATACCCATCAAGATGATTGTATGATCTATGTAATATTAAACACAATAATTAAATGCACATTAGTGTCTTGATTTTTATTGATGTACAGTCTTAAAAATGCGAAATTTGTTTTAGTTGATCGTCATTTAATCGCCAAGCAGCTTGTAGTTCTATTGAAAAAAGAAAACGAAGTGATGGTTGAGACATTATAACATCACGATGACAATGTTAGGTTTATAAACACCTAGAGTGAATTTAGCTCGCTATTATTTTACGTTTTCATCTGTCGTAGGCTATAACGTCAGTATTGAGAACAACATTCCTCTTTTTTCGATAAATGGAAAATATCGACATTTCCACGGTAATTAAGCCCCACCCACGGCACTCGGCCAACATAGCCGGAAGAGAATCTAATGCCCGACGACTGATCACTTCGAACATTCTGTATACTACCTGTCATTTTCTGCCGGAAAAATCTTCCGTATTTTTCTACTTATCCTGAATCGGAATATCACGCCATTATGCATCTTTTTCAATAAACTTCATCGTCACTAAGGCGATAGCGATAGGTCATTTCAACATGGATATGCTTTCGTTGAATACAAAGAAATTGAATCAGTCTCAACACATAATATAGGGTCCATGTTCTCCCAGCTATTCTTCAAGATCTTGGAATGACCTATTTCCATATCGCTTTTCTCCTATTGCCCATAGCCTTTGGCGATAACAAAGTTACGTTGTTTGGAATAGGCGTAATTCAAAAGTACTAAAGTATTTGCCAAAAGATATTAATGATTTTGAAAAATGAGACGTATTTCATTAATGACATCGAGGAGGGAGCATTATCATAAATTATAAGGATATTGTATTTTATATTTCGACCCGCATTTTCGATATAATTGTAGAGAACTCGAACTAAGCTATCAGTCAGTATATGGGCCTTTTTGTATTGTTATTGTTTCCCTTCTACTGTTTTTTTTTTTTTTTTTTTTTTTTTGTTGTTGTTTTTTTTCCCCAGGACTATTATCAGCCGAGAAACTTGTCGACAAGTCGGAACTGACTTTCAAAAAAGCTGGCTATCTGAAACCAATTTATTATAATTTATGTCCTCTTAATCAGCTGGGAAACACCTGTGGAGCGGTTTGCTTTTCAGTATCGTACAAAACCGTAAAGAAATTCAAAGCTTTTTATTTAATGCCTTTTAATGAAGCTGCGGTACCCAGATGTACTAAGTTGTACATACCTATTTCCAGCCAACTTCAGCCAACTTCAGTGTCATATGAACTAAATTCAAGCCCGTTTATTCCAGCCACTATTGACAAAACAAAATAGCTTATGTGCTTATTCAAAATCTAAAGTAAGACAAAAGACGTTTATCWTTTTTTTTTACACTTATACGATTTTTCAATATTCTTGAAGCATTGTTCACTTGGGTCTTATTTTATTCATGAGTCCTTTGTTCTTTCCTGGCACCTGATTGGTTAATCCTTTGTCTTGCTTCTGTTCACTTGATTTTACTTCTAGTGAAGCCACAGGGACCATGAATTTCTAAACTACATCCTTAATTATTCCAATTTTTATCGACCGCAGCCCAATTTCTTTCCAGTTAACCACTCTATTAGCATGACCTAGAGTATACTACACCACAGTAGTCTTTTAATGGCTGTACAATAATTTTCTGGGCATCAAAAACTATTATGAAGTCAAATGATCCGTCGCGAAGAAGAGATCAAGAAGTGAGAAACAACGACCTCAGTCATAGGTGTTGATAAGAGTTTTGACTCGCTTGTCTAGCTACTTCAGAACGCTAATATGGTAAGTTATTATTCATGTGCCTATCGGAAAGAGCTTTTTCCCGTAGGAAGTAGATTTGTAGACATTTTGCTGACTTTTTGTTAGGCTTCTCGTAGTCCCATTGGCTCGGTCGTGTAATCCATCTTGAGAGAACGAATCGAATTTACCTCTACCACGAATACAATTTTAGACCCCTATTGTTTTATCTGTAAGAGCTTTTCCTTATTCCGGAGTCTTTGGAACATGTTCTGTTTTAAATTAAGAGCTCTTTTACGAGTATTGAACTGTCGGAGTCCAGCTTTTTAGACGATACAAAAAGCCATTCATCTCGGAAATTTCGACGCGCGCCACTACAAGTTTTTTGGTCACAATATTTTAACCTTTTATCGCTTTATTCAATGGCAAGAAAAGAAAGGATCAAAAAAAGTCAACATAAGGTAAAAAGAACAGCACATTATTCATCTATGTGCCGAAGGACTTTGTGATTTAAACTAAGGTTTTTTATTCTTTTTCTACGCTTCGCCAAGTGGAACCAAAGCGTCTTTACGATCCAAGACGCGTAAACATACCCTCGATCGAACCTTTGATCAATAGCATATTACGATAATCGTAAAACCAATTCTATAATGAATCAAGCTTTAGATTTTTTTAATGTATAACATAGTGGCCTAAATGATAAGTGAATTTTATATTGACTAAGTCTTAAACTCGGATATAATTTACCGCTAGTAGTAATATTATGGTATGGAAGTGAAATATTATAAAAAACTTGAAGACAATTGCTGGCTACAAGTTTTTCCAGTTGTAATTATTAATTTTTCTTAAATAATATCAAGAAAAATAAAACAATAGTTATCATAACTAGATGAATTCTAAATAGAAAATTTCTCCAAATGTTTTTTATAATATATATATAATATATATAGTTTATTTTATCTGCTCTTTTATCTGCTGATCACCTTACAGCCCCCACACCCAATTTACATATCATTAAAAGTCGAAAAAGCAATTTTTTAGACAAATGCTTGAAACCATAGTAGCAGAATTAAATTAGAAATATTTTGGAAGATTTGCTTTGAATTTATGAATTGTTAATTTTATATTTCGATTCTAGTGGTGTTTGCTATTGTATTGTTTACTATATGTTTGCATTACCTGTGCACAGTTACACCAATGTGTGCAGGGCATTACATATACCCAGGCCGAAATTTACTTATATTGTTTAAAAATATTTGCTTTAAGAAAAGGTCAATTGATGTTTAGGGAAGATTCCTCCTCAAAAGCCTTATTTTTCTAACAGGCCCCCATTTAGAAGTTAACTTAATTTCTGAAGCTCCCAAACAACCCATGAAAATTTTCAAATTCAAATGGACCCTTTTYGAGTTCCAAATTACCACTGTGTTTCTTGATTACAGACTCATTTACTCTGGCTTAGCCTCAATTTTGCAAAGAATATTCACATGTTCCAGTCAAAGTCCGTCAGGCTTCAAAGTGTTCGTATTGTAGAAGTTGTGCATTCTTTACTTTATCGTTGGTATTTGTGAATATTTAGACACTGATTCGATTCTAAACCTGAGTAAATGAGTCTGTTATCAAGAAACACAGCGGTAATTTGGAACTCAAAAAGGGTCTATTGAGAGCCCTCTTGTATGCATGACAAATTTTTAGAGCTCCCTCCCTCTTTCMTGTCCCAAAACATTTTGGTCCCCCTTCCCTGATCTTGTCCAAGATAAGTATGAAATTGAGACATTGAAAGATAATAGCTTTAACAGCTTCAGCAACACTAAAGACATATTTCACTTTTGAAGCTGAAACTTGCTTATAACTTTTGTATTGATTTTTTTTAACCCAAGCTGTCAAATTATCTTTTAATAATAATAATAATAATAATGATAATAATGATAATAATAATTTTATTACTTATATAGTGCAAAAATTCATTAATATATGAATGCATAAATAAAAGCTTTTATAGAAAGAAAAAGACAAAAGTTTCATGAGGGAAAAATTCAACAATATTTTTGTACTTTTAAGTCCTGTTAATCATGTATGCATGAAAACTGGTAAAATAGGTACAATTTATTTTACTCTCTTTGAAATACTTGAAAACCATCAATATTTTCTTATTACTACAGTATCAAAAAAGCAACAACAGAGATTTTATAGAAGATGAGAAGATCTGGGATGAGTCTCYGCCTCCCCCATATGAGTCAGATCTATTTGGTCAAATCAAAGAAGCCAAAGAAACATCTGAAGGATCTTTAGATTTTTGTAAACGAGTCGTACAGTTATTTGCTGGAACAAGTAAGTTAGTGTACTTTTACATTTTCTTTTTACTCTTTACAATGATACTACATTAACCAAACCACCCATCAAATTTTAAATCAAATTGTATAGTTACAGAAATTATCCATACCCTTTCACCCCCCCCCCCCCTCCCCCAGAGGAATGTTTTTTAAGACTCCCCCCCCTCATTTACCCCCAGAAATTCCAATTTTCTTCCATACAAACTCAGTAATTTTGTTTTTTCTCTGACCCCCCTACCTTTTGGAAATTCCGAATACCTCTGTGGGGAAAGGGGAGGGGATATGGATAATTTCCAGAACTACGCATTGATGAACCATGTTTTTGACACTGAATAACAGGATGGTGACAAATTCTGGAGATTATTAACCTTTTCTTGTTCACTCCTGATCATACACACATGGGTAATTAAAGGGAAATATTCTTAAAATTTGTGCAGAATTGTTTAAATGCTCATTACTGATTGGCTAATTGATTGGCTATGAAAATTTGCACCTTGGTTGGTTTAGTTGTAATGTAAATAAGGTTTGAAGGTTTTGAAAAAATGGTATGCAGTATGGAGAATTTCTGGAACTACAGGCTGTACAAATTCTCCAGCTATAGGTTGCTATCAATAGACGTCACTTCGGTAATAGCTCTTTTTTGATGGCTTGTAGAATCCTGGAGGTTGTTTTGATCTYTTGTTTTCTGGTTTCATGTCGTAGAAATAGTCATATACAATAGTTTGAGGACTTATTTTGACATGTTTTGGCTTAACATCCGCTAGTTGCCCCCCAGTCAACTCCAAAAAGTCACGTGATTGATAGTAAGCAATTCCCCCCTTCAGAAATCAACTTGTAAATTCTAATTCAATCAATTGGCTGCCTAATCAAGTGGGTTAAAGAACCTGTTAGGCTTTCTGTAGTCCAACCTTGGAAGGTATTAATCCCATTTTAATTTTTTGAACCATAAGATAAAACCCTGTATTCAATAACAGCTAGCTCTTAAACATCTAAATCATATGCTGCGTGCAGTCCTTGTGCACCACTTTAAGGTGTCAGGACATGCTTCAGACCTACATTTACAGAACCAGAAATTTTGTGACAAAAAAAACAATTTGCACTTCACAGTTGGATGTACAGTGGTGCTGAGTCTTTTGATGGCTTTGCCGATGGCTATGGTTATTATGGGTAGGTAATATGGAATCTTTTTTTTTTTCCAGTTAGGTATCCTAAAAAATGTGCATATTTCTGATTGGCAGTTGGAGCAGGGGACATTTTATATCTGGATATTTTATATCATTTTATTCACCTGAAAGCAAAACAAGATAAAAAGTAAATAGGGGAAAAAATGTACCGACAATGTATTTACAGTCCTAACATTAGTCCAGATAGGGAAGAATTGTGCCTTTGGCCTAGAAAATGGACCTCAGCCTAATGACCTCGAATTATATCAGTATATTTAATTCCTTGAGCACAGGGACATTTTCCTTATTGGTCATACTCAGACCTCCTGGCCAGTAAATATTTAAACCTGTACATATCTGTCTAGCTATTTCAACTTGCCCTGCATTTATCAGTCTTAATACTTTTCTTTCATTGCTAAAACCAGGTGCAAAATATAAGGATGACTGCCCAGTGGAACCATTTATTCCTATTTATTTAATAGTTGGGGGATCATTTGGAATGCTAAAGACAATAATTGTACTTTGTCAAAGAGCCAGAAGTCATGACGACACAGATACCGATATAGATGAAGACCAATCAATGTCTAGTAAATTCATAGATGGTGTTCTCAATTTATTCTTATTTACCTGGTTTATCGCTGGTAACATTTGGGTGTACAGTAAATATAAGCCTAATCCAACGCCGCCTGCGAATGATGCAATGAACTACTGTAACCCAACACTGTACATGTTTGCATTTTGGGTTATAACTGCAAGTTACATTCTTATGGGAGCTATTTGTTTTTGTATCTGTTGTTTAGGAGTCTGTGCAAGTTGTACGGCATTTTTCGTTACTGTCAAGGATTAACTAAGCATAGGAAAATGAATGAATATAGTTGGTTTCATGTAGTTTTTATTTAGAGTGATATGGTATATTACTTACCATCCATCACCACTACCACACAGATCTTAAAAGGGCAGACACATGATGAGACATTGCCTGCAACGGCATAAAGAGGCTGAATTTTTTGTGTGTGCTTTTTTTTTTGTTTGTTTGTTTGTTTGTTTGTTTGTTTGTTTGTTTGTGGGGAGGGAAACATTGCGTGACGACCCTAAGAACGGCTGCAAAGGAGGCTGAGGGTAATTTGGTAACCTCTATTTTCTGTACACTGTTCTCATAATGGCTGACAAGTGCACGAAAACGAGGTCAACCAGTCATTAGTTTACAATAGAAGATAAAAGCACATGAAATGCGTTCATAGAATGAAAGTAAAGAAATTGACTTTTTGTTTTGACCTGAATTCGTGCTATCCACCTTTATTTTGTATGAGCAGCCTTGCTCATCCTTGCAAGATGACTGGATGAATTCCTTTTCGTGCGCTCGTCAGCCATTATGAGAATGGTGTATAAATTCACGACATCTGGGTTTTTGGCTTACATCAATCAATCAAAGAATACTTAACTTGTACTGTTGGAATTGGATTGACTAGAAAACGCGCACAACTTGGGCCACACTTATTGAGCAATTTCGGTATAAAAAGGGTTATTTGTAGATTTAGATATTATTTTAATTCAATAGACCTAGATCCTACATCTTCATTTTTTCATACATTCAAATGTTGTCATTGGAAACTGTTGCTAAGCAACRTACATATCTCATTCTTGTAAGTGGATCATATTTAAAAAAGCACGAGAAAGAATCAAATTTTCTAGAGCAAAGGGATTTTATTATTCTGCCATGTAAGATGGCATGTAATGATACAAAACCCCTATATTTATAGCTGATGTTGCACTGGACGATTCGCAACAACAATTTTTCGCGATACGCCGTTGGGCGAAAAATTGATGCTGTGTAACATGCCATGTACAACGATTTTCGGATTTGCCAACGCGTTGCAAGTTTTTGATTTAGCTTCAAAAACTTGCAACGCTTCATCGACGATTTTTCACTCAACGCACACCCAAAAATGCAGCTCAATACTTTCATAGAGCGAGGTGATGTCAATAAAGAAGAGCATCATCGAGCTGCAGCTTGTATTAAGAAAAGCTTTGCATATATATGCTTTTTTTTGATATGAAAATTTCCCCATGATGCTCAGTGATCTCGGCTTTCTAGGTTTTTGGTGACTAGGTTTTTGGTGACTAACTTTATCGAAATAAGTGTATACTTAAACCAAAAACCTAGAAAGCTGTGATCGCTGAGAATCATGGGGAAATGTTTTATATCCAGCAAGTAAAGCTTTTGACAAACTGCAGCAGTTGAGGATGCTCAGAGGAGGTTAACTTGTAACTGGTAGAAGATCTCAAGTCCATCAACGACAGTTATCAAGCGGTTGAAACATGTAAAATGTATCTACCCATAATCCTTGCCGGTCTCAGCTTTGTAGCTTTTCAGGTGACTAACTTTATTGAAATAAGTGTATCGTGAAAACGTTAACTAACAAAATCGTACAAATTAGTGCAGATATAATGTTTTTAATTTTTACAAAGCTTTTCACGGATATATAGTACACACTCTATAATGTATTTTGATTATAATCGTGTAAAGTCAAACTATGCCAAAGCAAAATATCAGATGGTATGCCAATTGTTGCAGTTTAACGCAGAACTGTTGTTCCCATYTTCCGATGCTTCGATTCCTTGTCAGTAATTCAATGCGTAAATTCTATTTAAATTGTATTAATAACAAAGAAATAAACTATTTTTGTCTTATATAATGGTTTACTAGTTGGGACCAACAAAATCATGATAAAATGCTAATCAAAATGTCGAATCCTCAATTCCGATTGTTTGAACTTGATCAAGAGTTTGTTCTGGGCCCGGTGCTGAGTACAAAGATTGGATAGCGCTATCCGATGGATAAATCTTATCAAGTGGATAAATTTATTGGATAACAGCATCGACTTATCCATTGGATAACGATTTATCCGTTGTATAGAGCTATTTACCCTTCGCACGCCTGGCCTGGAAGGTCAACTCGGCTGGAAAAACTACGCCAAGGTAGGCCAAGGTTCTTTCAATTAACGCGGTCTTGTACCAGCCACTTTACGTGATTAATATTTATCTTACTTATATTACTTCATCCCACAGGATAATAAATTTTCATAAGCTATGACTACTTTATTATTGACCTTCTTTGATTGACTTGTTCTGGAAGTTACTTAAAAAGATCATTACTTAAGAGTATTACATTTAAGCGAGGACATCAATTTTTAATGAAGAATATCTTATTTAGAACTTTCCAACTTAGTATTACTTTTCTAACAAAAGAAAACTAGCCAGTAAACTAGCTCTTATGAGAATGGTACTAAAGATAAGGCATATTGGTTGCGTGCCTGGTTTAACATTATTTTTGTTCTCGTAAAACGATTGTATTGTTCCAGACATCTAAAATGGCTGCCGTCACGTGATGGTGCAAAGCCTCTATTGGTTAATATTACAAAAGACGCCAAAGCAAAAACTTTTGTCATTTATCAGTAATATATTTACGTTCCAAATACTGACTTTTTCATTTGTGCATCTYGTGCGTGTCTCTTTACTAGTAGAGATAATTAGTATAAGTTTTCAAGTCTATTTGATTAGTACTGTCCTTGGACAGCAGGTGCCTGGAGCGTACAACACGTAATTAACCGGAATTAAATATTCATATCATCTTAAAATTTGTCACACGGCTCTTAGTGCAAATATATTTTGGGGAGAGGAGGGGAGATCAAGGTGGGGGTGAAGTTTTAGTACTTTACCAAAGTGAGGGCGTGTGGGGGTATTGGCGGGGAAAAGTGTGGTTTTAAAAGAGCTGGTACGAGGGGTGACAGTATACCCAGATATTATGGGTGCATGCAAATTGACCCCCTTGTGTAATTCTCGAAACAAAAAAATATTTCATTGCGGACTCAACTGTAATTAGAGCTATTGATGAACGATTTTGAACTAAATTACGCACTCAAGGTATTTTTACCAAAGTTCTGGCCCTCTTTAACCCAACCCTCCCCCAATGAAAAAGTAGAAAAGTGCCCAAGATAATGAAATGAAAGCCTCATGAAAAACACTGACAACTGCGTCAAATATCAAAGCTAGTAATAATTGATGATATTCACCAAGGACATGTGATATAATTTGAGCATATTCCTATAGGCCACACTGTTAAAATAGACCTTTAAAACGCTTAACTATGAGCACAACCACAGTAATCAATAATTCATTGACAATACCTCATTTACATTATCGAAACAATGGGAACGAAGAGTGGAAGATCATGTTGAGATAAGTAATCTTTATTTTTTACTTTTCGTATTGCAATACGTTTTATTTGAATCATTTCTCCACGTACAAGAAGTGGGTGGAAGAACATGTGGTATTCAGCCACTTGAAGACATTAACTGTAATTTTGAATTAAATTTGTGCGCCGTCACTTAACTTTGACAAACAACTAAACGGCGTGCGCATGCGTCTGTTTGAAACAATTTCACAATTGAATGCCAACATAAAACACGCTGGCATTTATATATTTATTAGTGGTTCAAGATGCCCAACACAGCTAGCTGTCACTGAACAATTTGCGCGTCCACCCGAAGGGCGCGATGTACGTTGATGGACAAAACTAAAGATTTTTATCATATCTGCAAAGTGCAATCTTCAAAATTGTGATTTTTAAGGGATTTTTCTCTAATACTGCAATCTTGAGGTATGTACAAGCCAAGCCAACTGATTAATGAAAGATGACAAGAAAAAGTGAAAATATTGCGTAGATTTTATATGATGCCTTCAACTCAAAGATGTCCAGTTTTTGATCATGTGAGTTTTTGATAACAACTGAAAGAATCTTCGCTTGCTGGCCATAACTCAGGCAATTACTACACCAAAAGCCGGCAGGCGAATAGTTGTTTCTCTAATTCAGAAATCAGTTTGCATGATGCATACATAGTGATCTTTGAGCTCTTGCCAAACAGTCCAAAATACTGATAAGACTGCAGACAGAAGCCAAGCGATCACATTAAAAGGCTAGCAAATTTTTAAAATAAAAACCCATAAAGACGATAATAATTAAGATCCTCTTTGAACTAATTTTCAGTTTTTCGCTTATTGATTGCTTGTCTGACCATTCTGTCGGTGGAAGCATTTGAATCTTTATAAAAATGAGTATTGTCAAAACTTAGAGCTTTTTTAGCATAATTCTGGCGGCGTGAAGCTATATACGTGCTACAWAACATCGCAAATAGAACTGAGAATGAGTGCACTCGATTATCTGCATACCATGTTGAAGAGTTTGCTACACTTTTGTTAACTTTCAAACTYTTTTACTATCAAAAAGCTTCGCGAAAAATTTTTCTCTTTTATTCATATTTATATTTCTTAATGATAATAGTAAGACAGTGGTGCTAATTAACTGAACAAGAGAAATCGTGCAAGGGAGTCCTAGTAATTGTAGTAAATAACGCGCTATAATGCAAGTGACCTATTATTTGAGCTTTTGATTAACGAGTAATGGCGCCCTTCAGATCCCTGAGGTATAGACCTCTTTACCTTGGGCGTAATGTTTTCCCATTTCAGACGTGTTTTTCCCTAGAGTGTCTTTTCTTTGTTTAATGGTTGTGTGCATGAGAAGACAAATGAATGTGGATACAACTCAATCATGCAAATAATTTAAATGGGAAACATTATGCCCAAGGCAAACTTAATAGGTCTACCGTGTACAGTTGTCATTCTTAGTTGTTTTTTTCTTTTTTGGTAGATCGAAAAAGAAAGAGATTAAATAAGCTCGTTGCGTTTTCTTAACCTCTACTTTCTTTGTTGCTTTCGTGCTATATCTTTATTTGTTTATCTTCAGTCTCATATTTATTTAGCTTCTTTTTGGGATTCTTTGGTTGAAAATGTTTCAACTCAACTAGTACTGTTTGTGTGCATTTTTTTTAGATTGTGTTTTCATTTTTTGTACGTTTATTGTTTTTGTTTTATATTGTTGTTGTTGTTTTGCTTGTTTGCTTGTTTGCTTGTTTGCTTGTTTGCTTGTTCGTTTGTTTGCTTGTTTGCTAATTGTTTGCTTGCTGGTTTCAGTGTTTGGGCATTAATTTTTCTATTTCTGACTGAGCTTAACACCCTTTCACACCTCCAATCTGAACCACTTCAGTCATATTCATACGTCAGTGCATATCACAAAATTAATCAAATCATCCAGCAAAGCTGCAACTCACCACACCAACAGCTTTCAACAAGCTTCAACACAATTTTCAATCAATATCTCCCAAGCGTTCTGCGTTTAGCAATTCCTTTTTAAATAAATGTATGCACGAACACTAATAGAATCACCGGCGTGTGTTGCTATTGGCTACCACAGAAGCGCGTTACCCGACGTTCTCCGGCGACATTCAATCACTTGTTATTGTTCGTACTCAAGTGAGAGTTAAGTGACTCAGGAATTTGACGCTAATTTTATAGCGCTCAAGGCTTATGAATCCAAAAAATATTGATCATCTTGCAAGGCAAGGAATGTTACCATGAATTTAAAATGAAAGTACGAGAATCTGGCTCACTATCCCTACTGCCTGTAAGTATGTTACTCTAGCTTTACATGATTGTACACCTTTAATACTTTCCATAATTGCATTAAGTTCAAAAAAAGAAATTGGATGCTTTAATTCTTTGAGACGGAAGATATAAAATGACGTTCTAAGCTTTATTTCTGAGTTCAAATTTAATTTTTAAAGAATTTGCGTTTGTATTATTCTTATGATTGATACTCGTCGGTTCAACTACTACCGAAACGCTAACGAGTATGATTTGACTTTTGTATTCCGTTTGAATTCTGATCCTGAAGTGTGTTCCAAAAGTTTTGAGTTCCGGTCAGTTTTGCCGTAATACCAAATGTACTGAAAATGATTTCTTGGTATAGCAAAGATAAAAAGTCTTAGAAAACCCCAAAAATCTTGTKTCTACTTCTGATGCAAAATCATTCGACACTTTATGGTATAATGAATAATTCGCAACCATTCAATTATGAGTCGACCGCCACTGATTAACCAAATTCGAGAGACTCTTGTGGGCTATAAATGCTGTCTTCTCCAAATGCAGATGTCGGAACACTTGTTAAACACTTCCAAAGCCGGTCTAAAAATCTGGAGGGTAGCTTCCAAATATCAACGATCAAACGATGTGGCGTGGGATGYAGTCCGATTTACTAAACTGAAAAACCGTTTTAGAAATCCATTGTTAGTAGCCGAGTTGGCTAAGCCATACAACGCAGTTACGTTGGCTCTTCAATTTTACCACATGCACCAATCAGCTCTTGATATCAAAAATAATTTTTCCAGTTCAAATCATGATAAAATTCTTCGCTACTTAACTGTATAAGCCCGGGTTAAGTTTTGAAACAGTGTTTTCTTCAGTTTCCGGCGTTTAAAGATAATTTCTTGGCTAAAGTGGCAGGTGTAAGACTAAATGTTGTGTTCAAATAGTAAGACGACCAAGCTAATTACAATACAATTCCAAATATTAAGATTACTGTATTTGAGATGTTATGTCAAATCCGGTATTACAGAACTCCCACGAAGCTGATAACTTATTAGAAATTAGTATCCTTCTCGTACATTTATTATCTTGTACAGTGGTGTGTTTGTTTGTTTACGGTGATAGTTTTTCTAATGCATTGCTTTAAACTTTCTTAAGATCTCAATAACGATTAAGACAGTCAGAATATTTGAACTGGGAAACCAGTTTAAACTAGTTTACTTTGATGTTTTTCACTCGAAGTCCTCAAATTTCAGTATTTAAAAATATTTTAAAAACTCGCTTTAACAAGTAAGTAAGTAATAAGCATATCTATCGATTTCTCTTGGCCGTATCACCTATACAGGTGCTTGCCTACGTACCAGCTTTAATTTTGCATAAATTCTGAACTTTTCCACCTTATTTTAGAGCCACATTCCCTAAAAATCATAAAATATTTTTGTAAAAAATTCTTATCAAAATAAATATAAATCACAAGGTAGTTTTACAAACGATTTTAATTCTAAAAATCTACAGTATTTTAGCATAGTTTCGGGGAAGAATTTATCTGCTAATATTCACGACGCTAGCTATCTACATTATTTATGTGCAAGGTGTAGCCTTAATTTTCTTTGGTGGAAAGTCATATGAGAGGGGAGGTACGGTATGAGTTTTGTCCTCGCCCTCCTAGCGATTTTAAACAATTTCTGCATAATTAATATTACTCAAGAGACAGTGTTCTTCAAGCATACAGTGAGTAATATTAATTGATAATGCAGAAATTGTTAAAAATCGCTAGACAGTATTGATGGTTTTCAGCCATTCCCAAGAGAATTGAATATATATAATTGATATAACAAAAGAATTCATTGACAATTCTTTTGTTAAGTTCCTCCAACATGGCCGCCGTGAAAACCATCAATTCTTCAAGCATACAGGTAGTTTGAAAGCCTTGCCTTTTTTTGATTTTCTGATATTTCATTTGTAGTAAAAACCATCGTGTATGCTTTGCATTTGCACTCAAGTTATGTTTCACGGCCAAATAGCAGATAAAGTCGTTATCTTTCCAAAACTCGACCAACAACGATAAAAAACCAATAAAATTACTGTTGAGCAGTATGCCAATCAGGTACATGTGTCTTCAAAAAGTAGTCTTACAAGTTTATAAATCTTTTATGTAAAACCTAATATAAAGTTAGTAGYTTTACCTTTTTATCGACCACCTCGTTTTTTCTCTCATAGTTTTTGTAATTTTATTCATACTCTATAAATACAACTGAATTGATTTGCCTCGACGTAAGCTCATATTCAAGTCGATAATATAACGTTATTCCTTAGTTTCTTTCTAAATGTCCGAACTTCTGTTCATCTTTTTCGAATTTGTACTCATGAAATTTTAATCAGTGTGTATGATGTCAATACTATATGTATTCAACAAAATTGACTACGGCCAATAAGAAAGAATTTCTGCTTTGACATTAGCATATCCGAGGTTTTAATATTCGTACGATAAAAACACATATGTACAATCTTCCAGCCATATGATTTCAATCAAATCTCGTACTGTTTTGGCTTTCCTTTGTGGTCGTTGGTAGGTCATCACAAGAATTGAACCAACTTGATGTTCTGGGGCAAATAACATAAACAGCCTGCCAATTAGAGTGCCAGAGTATCCCATTTATAGCTTACGGGAGAAAAACCGCACAGCAATTTGAGGGTATAAGTTTAAAAATTCTTACCCAATGAGTTTTTTTAGTCGCTTCGCGTTATTTAACACCATTGCTTCCAATGCAGAGAATGTGTTTTCTTCTTTTTCCAACACAATCCAGGTAAGATAAAAAAAGTAAAATCGAACGCTATCTAACTAGACGTATTTACATCCCTTTCTGAATATAATATTGTGAATTCAAATATGGTTTTATTTTGCCTTCTACACAGGAAATGGCAGAGCCATCGGAGCTGGAGCAGTTGTCTAGCAACGCCAGAGCAAAACTCCAAGGTCGAAACCTCCCAAAGTATGTAATTCTCCACAATTCCAAATTCAAGGCAAGTTGGGACTGGTTTGTTCTAGCACTGGTTATTTACACAGCTATTGAAATACCTTATACGGCTGCGTTTGGGCAGCTCGACAAAACCAAACGAATTTCTCCGTTAGGACAATTGAAGAATGGACGTTACCTTGCAATATCAAATGTTGTCGTAGACTGCTTATTCATTGTGGATATTTTGATTAATTTTCGCTCGACCTACACGCGGAAGGGAACAGATGAACTAGTTGTAGACCCAAGAATGATTGCCTGTAATTACCTTAAGACATGGTTTGTTATCGATCTTCTTGCTGCCATCCCTTTTGAATTCTTCGTCAGTCAGGGAACTGAAGGGGTAAGTTCATTTTTACCCTTCTTTTCACATATCTCTTATATTTTTATGCATTAGCACACTTTGATAGGCGATTACCTTGGTAATGGTTCAACACCTATTGTTGGTTTTATGATAAAGTCATGCAAAAACGACTTCTAGGTTCTACTAAGGATTAATTATTAAATTCAGACATTGGGTTGGAAGTGACTTATGGCCACAAAATTTATTTCTTTTTTCGTGCCTTTTAAGTCGCACCAATTAAAGCAAAATATTCATTTCAAATTTCCTTTGCAAGCATTTTATTCAGTACACCAAAAGACACCGAGGAGTTTCTCCCAGATTAAAAAACGAATAGAAAAAAGCTGTCTTTCATTTATGGAGATCTTTTCACTAATCCGTCGAATAGCTTGAATATGATAAAGCGCAGTGAAAATATGGATACTATAGACGAAATCCTTCAAAAAGCTATTACAGTATGCTTTAGCTTAGTGGCCAATGGAATCAATCGACTAGAAATACATCGTAATGAAACTGATCGAGAGAGAATGAAAAGCTATCAGTTTGAGGGCGATATTGACCGAAATCCCATAACTCTACAGAATTGCATGTTTTGCTAGTTACTAGAGTAAGATAGCAAGATCGACTGTCGAAGTCTAAAAATGCTCTGAGGACGAGAGTTTAATTCATGCTGTGAAAACATTGCTTGTGAAAATCATTTTCTGTGTCTTCGAGGGATCCTCTGTGATGATTGGTCGAGGTTCACTCGCGTATTCAAATAATACTTTGTTGTTGTGCATACCAAAACAGCTGTCTCAACGGCTTCCAAAAATATATTTTCCTCCATAATTTCTTTCTTTAATTTCACCTAAAGCCTTCATTGCTAATTTAGAGAACATAAGCACAATACCTCATTTATATTCCTCTCAACCTGAGCTTTTCTATTATTCAGTAAACAATTTGGACTTCTCCTTGTTCTCCATGCCTTCATAAGACTTTAAAAATTTATGACCTTTCTTGTTCTTTCTCAAACCGAAAGAAAACCAATGAAAAATGCTTGAAATTAGCTTTTATTAATCTAATAACCGATTTGTCGGCGCTTTTTCATATTTGAAATAAGCTTTTTCAGGGAGTTTTTAATTAGGAAAACAGAAAAAAATTACCATGGCTCGAAAGAGCATGTTAAGATTAGTAAAACTAAGAATTTAAGGAAAATAAGTTTAAAACTCGTAAGCATATGATCCTTGAAGTGTGTGAATTTTGTTAAAAAAACCTTTGCATTTTGCCTGCCAACGAATGTTTTCGATTCATACAAAATTTCGATTTTTTTTTTTGTTGTTGAAAATTCTGAGTTTCAAGCTTACTTCCTACTTACTTAGTTTTGCTAATATTAACATACTAGTCTCAGCTATCTATAGCGGATAATTGTTCTTCTGACCCGGTTGTGAATTTTACAATTTCTAAAAGCTCATTTTATTAGCGACTTTGAAGGATCTTGTTAAACCATGCCAAAAACAAGGTTTATCGCTTCCTGAACTGATCAAAGATAAGTATTCGTGAGGTACTGGTAGCTAGATATGCTTGCCTAGGTAGCTTCAAGTTAAAGCCTGAACTTAAGCTAAAGCGGAACTTTTTTCCATTTGAAGGAGACATTTTCATCAGTTAATTTTTCATTTTTTAAGAGCCAAAGTCATTTTATTAGACATGATATGCAAAGAACCGTATAGGAAATTTAAGGAAAATTTAAGGAAATTTAAGAAAAGACTACACGCAGTAGATTCTAGAAGTGGAAAAACATCGCCCGCTCACGGGTGTGTTTGCATTTCCAGGAAAACGCAAAGTAAGGGCTGATTTTCTTTGCAGTCAGCTATCTAGACGCGTAGGAGCCACGAGTACTATACTTGTTATCATCTCCCATCAACTTCAATTTTTTCTTCGTTTTCAGACCGCTTCTCTTGCAGGACTTTTGAAATCCGCGCGTCTTTTGCGCCTGGTTCGAGTGTCACGTAAACTTGACCGATACTCCGAGTATGGGCTCGCTGTGGTAGTGCTATTAACCTGCCTTTTCACTCTTGTCGCTCATTGGTTGGCTTGTATTTGGCATTTTATTGGTATATCGCAGATTACCCTACCTCATGGTTGGATTACCGTGCTGAGCAAGCAGATGAATAGTTCGTATGACCCTTCTTATTCTAGTCTACCCGATTTGACAACAAGGTACATCTCGTCTCTTTATTTCACCTTGACGAGTTTAACAAGTATCGGATTTGGAAACGTATCGCCGAATACAAATTCTGAGAAGATATTTGCTGTAGTAATGATGTTAGTTGGAGGTGAGTGTCTTAATATTCCCTACTCTTTACCTTGGGCGTAATATTTTCCCATTTCAGCGGACTATACGCTAATAATATGTGTTTTAGTTGTATCCATATTAATGTGTTTTCTCGTGCGCAACCGTTAAACAAAGAAATGGTACTCTAGGGAATTACACGTGGTCTGTAATGGGTAAATTTTATGGTAAAGAGGTCTATTTCTCGTTTGTTCATTTTGGCCTTTGATGACTGATCCACGGATCATCGAGTGCGTCTTAGTTTAATAATAAGTAATAATATTGTTTATTATTTGTATCCTTGGGTGGTGTTACGTCATAAACACCATGTTGGTTGACGATAACTAAACATTCCTCATAATTAGGCGTCTCGTTAGATCATTATATAGTCAGCTCAGTAATCACGTGCTGATTAATTCACTGAGAGCAAATGAATGAACAATTTGATTCCCATGGGTGAAATTTACTGGTGAACAAACACACTTTTTAAAACCTGTTCCAAGAGATCGTAATCAAACTGCATTTCGTGACACACTGGTTACACATCGTTTCATTCAGTTCTTTACAAGTAGCTAAAAAGAATCGCCATTTTGAAATAAAAACAAACATTTTGCTCTCCGGTACAGACAATGCAAAGGGCCTATTGTGCGAACCATGATAATCGTATGATGCGTTTCAGTTTTTCCAGAACCCAATGGGTCCCGTACACGAATATGGTAATGATAACGTGATAGTTTTTTGTTATTGAAAAAAGGTGGTTAAGCATCTTTTATACTCAGAGTAAAGAACAATTGTTTGGCATATTTGCCAGTCGCCGAAAAGGAACGTGGATCATTTTTTCTTGACGTTTGGTTATTAAATCATATCAATCTTTTCCCTCTCTTCACAGCTCTCATGTACGCCGCCATATTTGGTAACATGACTGCAATCATTCAGAGACTTTACACGAGAACAGCTCGTTACCATAGAGACATGAAAGTTATCAAGGAGTTTATTCGTTTCCATAATATTCCCGAAAACCTTCAGGGGACATTAACAGAGTATTTCACACATGAATGGTCAGCTCAGAAAGACCAACAGCTGAATCAGGTCAGTGTAGTAGACTAAAAGGGGGAGGGGAGGGAGGGGATGAATTGATGGTACCTTTTATAGGGGCACTTGGACGAAAATCCGTCAACTTTGGAAACAGACTATTCCTAATTGACGTATTTTAACGATAAAAATAGATGACTCTCATGAATTACTCTACCAAAAATTCTGCATTTTAGCCCGGGTTTTCACCAAGACATTTTGCTGGTTTACGAAAGCTAAAAGAACAATAGGGTTGAGTAAATGGCGCCATTTACTCACAATTCATATGCTACAATAATTAATAATTTTTTCGCCACTCACAGTTTTACTGTGAAGAAAATATTTTGCTTGGCGACTATTGGGGCCATAAGTTTAACCAAGTTTCAAGTCATTTCCAATTTTCCTCCAAGTGTTCTTTTAAGTGTGACATCAAACGTATGAAAAAACAACTTCGGGTTCCAAAGAGAAAACCAGTTCTATGAAGGTTTATTCTTATACTTTTTCTTCACGACAGGATTTGTTGTCAAAAGTCCTAATTATTTCAGGAGGATGTTAAATCATTAAGAAAATTTTTTGGTTTACAATTTGGGCACAGAAATACGTTATTAAAACTTCAAAGAGCTATTGGACATCTTTAACTGGCAACCATTCACATCATTCATAGTTTTATTGCTTTCTTTAGACGTAAATTGCTGAATGGCAAGTTTTCCCTCGAGTGAAAAAAGACTACATAATTTGTGCTTCACTAAGGCGGTGTTTAGTCATCATCATTGTAGGCTGGTAGTGAAATTCATGCAACGCGGAAAGAAAGTATTCTATTGATCGGCGTCTTTCGTTACAGGTGCTCCAAAGATTCCCAGAGAGCCTTCAAGCAGATATTTGCGTCCAGATTCATAGAGAAGTGTTCAGCCGGTGTCCGGTGTTTGAGAATATGAGTGATTCGTGTCTTAGGGCTTTGTCTGTAAAGTTTGACATAATGAACTATCTTCCAAGTTATTTTATTATCAAGGAAGGAGACTTAGCTAAATATATCTATTTCTTTGCTTTGGGGACTGTGGATGTGATTAAAGATGGAGGGTCGGTGTCTATTTTAGGTAAGTTGTTGGTAATCATATTTTATTTTATGCACTTGTGATTTTGCAGGTCATCCCAAAAAGATTTTTCATTAATATCATTTTTTAATGTCACCAAAATGGCAGCCATGTCTTTGACTGTTGAGTCTGCAAGGTAGTTTCAAAGAATTATTGAAATAATTGGCCACTTTTTAAGATTTAATCTAGTTTACTGAAAATAAACACCATAAGAAAGAGTACATCGAAATTAGTAAATTTCTCATGGAGTTTCAAGATTTTGGGTTTCATACCTTTTGTGTACCAACCTCCCAAACATCTCAAAAAATACAAAAAATAAAAATAGTGTACTTGGCACATTATTGATACACAACGATGTATATATATTCTGAAGGTCAAGGGGACAGTGTGGGTGGAGACTACATGTCAATCAAGACCAAAGGGAACCTCAAAGCAGACGCCACCCTAATGGCGCGAACTTTCACCGAAGTTCATTACGTGGCATGGTCTGACGTGTTTTCTGTGGCAGAGGCTTTTCCAGAGATTGAAGAAGCTATGTGTCAATATTTATACACTTTGGATATTGGTCGCTGTAACCAGGTAAGTGCATCCCTGGAGCATATAACGTGTTCCGTTGTCGACTGAACTGTGTATGCGATCGAGTTCATGATTTGTGACGTTAATGTGTTATCCTCTTCCTTGCCACAAGGTTTGTTCTCCGGGTTTACTGGATTTCCTTCCTAGGTGAAATGCCATTACAGAGTCATTCTGGTGGGCACGTTTTTCCTGGAAATGTTGACGAACCACCGACATGAAATATTATCTGTAGTTCTACTCAAAGATGACGGTCATTATCTTCAAGCACTTGTGCAATGATTTTTTAGTCAATTATTTGCAGTGAAAATACCCCCCCCCCCCCCTAAAAAGTTAAAATAAAAAAACGCTCACGATATGATGAACTACTTCGACGATACGGCGGCCATCTTGGATCACGATGCATTATGTGGCGTCCAGGGGTTAAATAAGGCTTTGTTACAGTAATGGCGTCGATTGATATTTCTAGCTCTTCACAAGAAAATACAACAAAAGATGAATTAAGACGGCACATTGATGACCTTTACCCATAAAAGGAAGACAAACACACGAAACTCTAAACTTTTTCCGTCATCTTTGTTTTGTTTTGCCACCTGGCAAGATGGCCGCCGTAACGTCGAAGTAGTCCATTGATTGTGAACTTTGCTTCTGACAAGCCATGCATTGTACTTGAAGAAACACCTCAAACATCAATCTGTCTGTCTGTCCGCCGGTCTGTCTTACCTTGTTTTCTCTTTTTTACTCCAATTTGATTGGATGCTTGTAGAAAGGTGGTGGACTCGTTGGACAAGGGCCATGGTCGGCACTTGCTCTTGGTGCACCAATAGGAATCTCACTCGTAAATATTGCTGATTTCAAGTCTACCCAAAGTAATTCAAAGGAGATTCAAGTCGAAGCTGATGTAAATAAAAACTCAAATCGAAAATCCCCAAGGCCTGCAAACCCGACTACTTGTATGAACGGGAGTATTGGGGAGACTCCTCCTCAGACTCTCTCGGATAAACATTTAGCCTGGACACTAAATGCTTGTCAGAGAATTGAAACGCTGGAAAAGAGACTAGTGAACGTTGAAAGCAAAATACAAGATATTCTTGATATTCTAATAGAAAACCGTGCTGAAAATGGAAGAAAAAAAGAATTAAGGCACAAAACAACATATTTATAAATTCATTATCCAAACTTAAACAACGGAATTAACTGATTTTTGCGATAAAATCTTTATTATTATTATTATTAAGAAAACAATACGTTCTTTGTTTGCTGATGAAATTTTCGTATATTACAAAATGTTTTGACGTGTGAGTTTGATTTTAAAACGACAATTCGATTATAAATAACTTTGAAAATTTCAGCTAAACTTATTTATTGTAAATATTCCTCCCACACCGCGCAACAAACAATTAATCAAATTATAAAACAAGGGTCAGATTTGAGCAGCAAAAAACAATTTAAAAAAGGTAAAAGCCAAAACAGTATATTGTAGTCTGCAGAGAATTGAATACAATTTCATGAAAAATAACCAGGCAGTTCGTCGATGTTAATTAACAAATCTGAAACAACAGAGATGGCAGGCGCAGTAGATATACAGTCAATTCAAAAAAACGTTGTCGTCGACCGGCTCAAGCCTACGCGACTGGACCGAAAGAAATATGGGTAAAAATCATTGAAGCGGTTAAATATTCGTTCTGAATTAATTGTTCCGCTAGTTATAATAGATAATAATGGCGAGAAACAACCCAGCAAATGCATGTTTTTGGGTTTAGTGAAAGAAAAACAAAGTAGTTATGATTCAGTTCACAATTTCGAAAATATGAAGGCATTAAAAAAACGTCTACTTCAACACTTCCCGCTCGCCTACGAAGGTTCGTACTGTAAACCAGGCATAACTAGTCAGATAAAATTATGTAGTCAATTCGGCTTCAATGATTGCTACCCAGAGTTCCTTTCGGTCCAGTCGCGTAGGCTTGAGTTGGTCGACGACAACATTTTTTGAATTGACTGTATAGTTAACGGCATTGTCTTCAACCATCACCTCAAAAATATTTATATATTGTAAAATAATATCAAAAGTTCAATGCGAAAAGATTAGGTCGTTTGTGGACAAAGAAGCCTTAAAAGATACATCAGGAATTGCAACTATAAACTGTAAAGTAAATTAGTGAAAAAAACAAAACTACAGAACTCGTTAACCCGGCGTTTTTTCGTACCTTTCCTGCGTTTACTCAGGACCAGGCGTAAATCCAGTAAGGGTATTTTATGTTGGATTGTCGTTTATAAGAGCAAGGGCAAAATGGTTCATTTATCGAAATTTTATATCCCGCCATGCAGACAAAGCAAAATTCCATGATCGATATTTACCAATAATATGCTAGAACTTTGGACAGTCAACCAAGATTGAATATTAATTAAATATTTCGATTTTAAATATTAATTCACGCTTATTGACTGGGACCGAGGGAAACAGTGTGTTTTGTGGTCCCGAGACGGCGGAGTTTCCCGAGGCGAAGCTCAGAGAAATATTGCCATAGAGAGACCCGGCACAAAACATTGCTTTTCCGAGGTTCCAGTCAATAAGTGTTTTGTTATATACCAAGTGTCAAAAAACACAAAGCAATTATTTGATTATTTAATTTTGATTTAAAATCAGAAAATCACACATTTTTTGCGAAACCACTTAATTGCTATTACCGGTCAACAACATATTGTTCCCCTTTGAGAGCCGTTGCCGGGAAAACATTGAAAAGCGTTCACTTTCACGTGATACCCTCTCGCCCAATCAGAGTACGAGAGAAATGAACTTTGACAGTTGGTATATAACAAAGTGTGTTGTTCTTCGGTAACCGCAATCAATGCTAGTGTAGTTGTGTGACGTCACTAGACATGACGTCATTAGTTATTAAATAGATGATCAATTTACGAAATAATGTTTTCTCTGATCATGCTGTGCATTTCATTATTTGTATATTTTTATGAATTTATTTTTATTGCACTTTTTTGACAACACCGTAATTTTTTGTATATTATTTATACGATAAACGCTAAAAGTAATATGATGACAGTTAAATAAACTAACTGATTCTATTGTTGAATAAATCTGTTAATAAGTTCTTTGTATTGAAATCAAGTTTGTCCTCTTTTTTTCCTATTCCACCCTTCTGTCTTGTTGTTGTCATTTTGTCTGTCTGTCTGTCCATGACTGTTTATCTATCATCTGTCTGTCTGTCCATATGACTGTTTGTTTATCATCTGTCTGTCTKTTCATGACTGTTTGTTTATCATCTGTCTGTCTGTCCATGACTGTTTGTTTATCATCTGTCTGTCTGTCCATGACTGTTTGTCTATCATCTGTCTGTCTGTCCATGACTGTTTGTTTATCACCTGTCTGTCTGTCTGTCTGTCTGTCCGTCTATCATTTGCTTGGCTGTTTAAAATTCAATTTTCGGGAGTCTCCTTGTCTCTCTGTAATCCAAACCCAAATACGGGAATGTAAGAGAAGTGAATGCCATTAATACAATGGTACCAGTCGCTGATATTATCCTTTACAGGTGCCATGAGATTGCCATGGCTACACATACTAAACAGCAGCATGCACTTGTCAGTCTTTTAAGCTGGTCTACCATTTTCGCACGTTTCGTTTGCTCTTCGACGCAAAGTCTACAGTAGTCCAGGTACACTTTAACGAGGCTCTTACTGACAAGGTACACTGAACTAATTAAGTTATGAGTTGCTTCCACTATGCCTTTTTATTGCTTAACTTATTCTGTGAAGGATGGAATTTCTTCATGAATAAAGGCGCGATCACACGGAGCAATTTTCTCTGCAACTTGTCTCGCGCAACGACGCTGCGACACAAGTTGCGTGGAGCATTGCAGCGTATAACCCTACAGTGCAATTTGAGTTACGAGTTGTAGCAATCGTTACGAAAAGTAGAATTCGTTCCTCCTTTCGGCAACGATAAGATTGTGTCTCCTGCGTTGCACAATGTAGACACTCTAGCAACTTGTGTCGCAACGCTGTTGTGAGACAAGTTGCAGAGAAAATTGCTCCATGTAATCGCGCCTTAGCCAAGAATAAAACCAGCTTTCTTAATAACCTAGTGTTAATGCTGACAATCAACTTGATTGTAGAGTGGTTTTCATAAACCCGTGTGAAAATCGATTGTACAAATTAGTGCAAAGTTGTGTAGCTCTATGGTCTACTGTATACTGAACTTACTAATTTGTGCAATTTCTTACGAAGTGTTTCCCGGATATATGGTATTCACTCTAGCAACGGAAAACTCACTCTTTGAAAGCTATTTCGAAAGTTCTTTATATGCAAAAAAATGATCAAACATCTTTACTTCATCTGAACATTTCTTATGATCTTTTGTGCTTCGGAAAAATGATTTTTGTTCAATTGTTTTAACCCGCTTCCCAGCCCCAACTAATAGGTTGCAGCATAGTAGCAACCTAGATTAGCTTTCGATTATAGCGCCATGAACCCTCCTCCTTCCTACCTCCCACACACAAACACAACTTTTCTTAAGTATCCTTTGAAAATTCCTTCGTTAATCTATTTAAGGATAAGAATATTTACTGACTATACTGAGTAGTTTATAATGACATTTTTCCAGGTTTGCTTTTCTATCTAAAACAAAACTTAACGACGCACAGTTTTATATTATAAAAACACAAAAACAGCAGCAGTAGCTTTCAAATTTTTGTCCATTATTATTTCAAAAAGTTTTCCAAAATAATTATGGATAGATATAAATGCTAAATTAATTCATAATAAGCAATAGCTGCACAGGATAGCCTGGGGCTAGGTCTAACTTGGTGGCTAATCTTGCCAAAATTCTTCATGAGCTGTCTAATTATTCATCGAATTATTTTAAGATTCATTTGTCCTTGAGGTTTGAATAGTCCTGACAGACTGTCAATAAAGGATGCTGCTCGTTCCTTATTGGCTCGCTGTAGCTACCTTGGGTTCACAAGGTAAGAAATGTGTTTCAGCATAATTTATTTCTTTTCAAAAAGACGAAAAAATAAAATAACATTTCATGATTGCGCGCGGGGTCTGGGAACGGGAATGCGAGGGATAAAAAGACAAAAGCGATGGGCGCCATATTGGTTGGCGAGCGAGTTTGGGAAGAATTAGGAAAATATTAGGAAAGAAGATTATTACAATCTTTACTTCGACAATTTTTACTTCGACAGTTTCTTCCAAGAATATCCATGAATACCAACTTCGAGCAAAGCTGTTTACGAACTACAGCAAACATGTCGCACCACAACCAAACAACAGTCCTGTCAATGTGTCGTACAATATCGCCTTTGCTGGCCTCAAGAATATGGTAAGTATGCATTGAAATATTCAGTGCTGATTATGAGAATACAGTTCAACGTGATTTAATCATTAAATAAGCGGCTCCCTTAAAATGCCCCCCCCCCCCCTCTAAAAAACACCCTCACTATGACCGCTAAATAGAGGTCGTTTTATAAAGCCATAAGCTACGTCAAAAACACTGAAAGCCAAACTCTAGTTTTTTAAAAGTTTTACTTAAAGTTCATTAGGTTATCTTTCACATGACATGAAAGTAAAAGACTCAGTACTACAGTTGTTTCCATAACCGTGCCGGATTTGTTTACATTGTCAATCGCTTTAGCTTTGTATGGCAGAAAACTCTATACAATTATAAAAGCTTTTAAGAGCGAATGTCTGTAAKGGTCGAGAATCGCCGGACAAAACCAAAAAATCAAATTCCATTTTATTTTACCAAAAGATACCTTTGGGTGGGTAGTCTTCGAAATGCATGTCCAAAAAGTCTGGCGATTTTTATTTTTTTCAAAATTCGCGAAAGTTGAAAAGAACCGCCGACAGTCATTTTCCGGCGACTCTATTTCCATAAAATTAGGCATGTTTAGGGAGTGCTCGTGCTCTAAGGAAAAATCCTATGGCATTGAAATTTTGTCCGTACATTGTTCATCATTTCTTGTTTCCAAAGATGTAAATCACTTTGGCATCTGTTGAATTCAAGCTAAGATCTCTGCCATCAACTTCCACCAACTAGGAGCGATAAGCTTCGAGCCTAAAATTGAGGTTAGTTTGCGACGCTATATTGAAGAGAGTATATTTTTTTCCACATAAATTTTAATATTYTTKRAAAGCYCTATCATTGGGCTTTCATCGTACCAAGTATCGTTTTTGGCCCGTTAATTCTCTAACTTCCAGAACTAAAGACGCTAGGACTATTTACAGCATTCGTGAGTTCATGAATAAATGAATATATAATGAACCGAGCATGACGCTATTTAGTATATGGTTTATTTCTTGCAAAAAAAACAAAAACAAAAACAAAAAAACACAAGAAACGGAGTCCTTTTCACTTTTAGGAGGCATTTTTGAGTATAACAGAGAGATATATGAATATATTTGACCGTAAAAGGTCAAGTAGCCACGCGTCTAGTCTTATGAAAATTTCATATTCATTTGTAGTCGGAATTTAAAATCTTCGGTACAAAGCTATTCTTGGCTTTTACGTGACGTCATCAAAAATTTAAACTCAAACCATGCYTCATATTCAAAAAGTAATAATAAATATATCAAGGAATCAAAGATTCAAGGCTTAGGAAAAGTTTCGTGTCTTCCTATGTTTGGACGCCGAATTATGGAGGTTGAATTTGTGTCACGCAATATTGTGAYGTTCATCTGATTAACAATAAAAATCGGAGACCTTTCTTATGTATATCAATAGATGCTTATGCACATCATTAGGTATTCGTCATTGTCCATTCTATAAAGGTATGACATATGAACCTGAAAAAAAAAAACGAAACTTTTTAAAAACAGGTCGCATTACCGGCGTTTGCATTACTACGCGGCCACCCCAGACAAAAATCGCGACGTGCACTTTGCAATAGACTGCCGTCAATCAAACACGTTGACGCCATTTACACGCGTGTGTGATTCAAAAGGCGCCAAAACTTCAGTCGATTGTTTACAAGTATTATGAGCCACACTCACCGGGTCTATCCGGGCAGATCCAAACGCGTGTAAATGACGTCAACTTGTTTGATTGACGGCAGTCTATTGCAAAGTGCACGTCGCGATTTTTGTCTGGGGTGGCCGCGTAGCAATGCAAACGCCGGTAAGGCTTGACGTATTGAGCACTTTCGCGCTCGGCTAGCTGTTATTGCTTTACAGTAAAAAAGAACTCTCCTCTTACTAATAGTTTTTGACCTAACGTGTTAAGAACTAGTGGTGCACGAACAGTAAGAAACAAGTTCTTCGATGAGTGTTAAATAGGGGGCTTTCTTTCTTGGTTTGTTTGGTGGCACATCCAGGTCAAACGATTCACATATATGCTGCAATAGGCCAAGTTTCATCTTCTTCAGTGCCCCGCTACCGGCCAACTCGCAAATGTTGTACTGGTCTAGCACAATTGGGTGTTTCCCTTGCAAAGATGAAAGAATATCTTGGCGAGCATTGTCAAAATTAGCTTCCTCTTCAATGGCCTGGATGTCTTCTTGCGAAAGCAGTCTTTTCTTGGCTTTGGTTGCGAGACGCGAAAAGTATGATGAAATTTGTTGAGGACTTAAGAATTCAGCGACGGAAAAAAGTCGTTCGCCATCAGGTCCTTTTGCTCTCCTCATGTCTTTAGCTACAGCTTCTGCTTGAACCTTTTTCCCTGTGGATTGGCCAATGTTAAACTTTTRCAGCAGRTACTCTTTTTGAGTTTCGTTAAATCGATGGGACTTCTTGCTTTCACGAAGTGCCCAGCCCTCCTTTGCTCCAGAGACAGGGTCTTCTTTGGCTGACTCGAGATGTTCACTCTGAATGACAGGCCTTTGTCCTATACCCTCTTCAAGTCTTGAAGCGTACTCGATTTTGGCTAGATCCATCAGGGTGTGTCGTTCAACATACTTGCAACATTTTTCAAAGGATAGGTGTTTTTCTAGATTTGTGTATCTCTGAAAAACACGCACACAGCCTTCTCGAGGGCAGGAAAAAACTTCACTTGAAGAAGGGAGACTGGCTTGAGGTGCCTGTGGTTCAGCTCTCTGCTGGTCGGTAGCGCCTATCCTTGCTGTAGATTTCGCAGCGTGATCTTTAAAATCACCAGGCGAAAAAGAAACATCCTGTAACCATTGATATTTGTCTGTATGCATAGAAAAATATGACGTCAAACAGTAAGTAATACCAAATACATTATTTCATTGCATTAACTAACCTGTACTAGTATTTACATTGATATTTCTCCCTTTACCAATGTTATATGCCCTCAAGGCTGCTAGTTTCCCTTTCTCATCAAACCAAAAGTTATTCAGCTTGCTTATGCCTATAAAAAGTAAATATGGAACAAACGTTAATAAGTCCATGCCCTGAACTTTGATTCCTGTCGATTTCTCGATTGCGRGACAAGCAAGGATGGTGTTGTTGGAATGATAACATCCAGCGTTGTCTTGGTAGAGGAAGCACCTCAAAATTTCTGGATGCTCGTTTCTGAGCGTTTGGATGACATGTTGAATTAGAGCGACTACTGCTGAGCTTCCCTGTGTGCAAGTTTGGATCACATGGATAAAAGCTTGGGACTGTAAGACACCCTTTGATCGCCGATATACAACAGAAATATGCCACGAAATACCTCTCTTCCCAAACCAATCAGTCTGGGATTCTCGGTAAAGTTGAGGGAGAAATTTCATGGCCCAGTCGTTGATGACTAAGATGGTATGCTCGTCCAGTTTCTCTATTGCATCTAAACGTGCTTTATCTTGGTTGACAGACCTCAGCAGGTGGCACTTCCATGCAATTATGCTTTGCTTTCCCTTTTGGCAAAGGTACATTGCTTCATCGTGATCATCATCGTTGGTGAAGRTCACAGTGCTTACGAGTTTTTCTATTTCCTCTAAGGTAGATTCCATTCCTTCGCACTCAGGGCATCTTTCATCATGCATGTGATCACAAGTTTTCTTGTGGTCTTTTTCCGTGGGGTCGCTTAGGGCATATACACTACAGTGACTGGGTACTTTGCATTTGTCACTGATGTGTGTGATAGTCTTCGGTTGGTTATGTCTCGATTTATTTGTTTTATCTTGACTCTATACTACATGTATTGATCAGTACGCGAACTGATATATATCTGGCGTACATGTGTATATATATACGATTACAATCATGTGATTAACTATAACGTAACTAGTTAAACAAAGATGCATTG